GGCTAACAGCCTCATAAAAACTACAATACAAATACAATAATTAAAAGCCGAATTAAAAAGAAATATTTAAACAGGCCGATCATTAAAATTGTCCTTAAAAATCCCCTAAAAAACCCCGCTAAAATTCCCTAGGCCAGACCCGCTTGTTGGAAAAGCCATGTCTTTAGGGCGCGGCGGAAGGAGGGGAGATCCGGGATCAAGTATATAAAAAGGGGTGAGGCTTTGATTGTATGATGTAATGAGCCCTTAGAATAACCTTGAAGAAGAGGAAGAACAGCTACAGCTCTGATAATGATTAGAATAGGAGTGGAATTTGAGAATTCCCCTCCTTTCCTTTACTCTTCCTAGTTCTTTGTAGGATGAAGGCAAAATTCCAGGGCTGGTGTCAGCCCTTTGTGGTAGACCAGATATGAACACCAAAGTCATGAATACTGAAACTACAGGTTTCAACTTATGTCCACGACTGAGCCCAATTTTTTTGTGATTAGGCAAGACAGTTGTTAAGTGAGTTTTGCCCCTTTTAAGACCTTTCTTCCCACGGTTGTTAAGTGAATCATTGCAATTGTTAAATTAGTAACATGGTGGTTAAGTGAATCTGGCTTCCCCATTGTCAGAAGGTCGCAAATGATCCCGGGACACTGCAACTGTCACAAATACCAGTCAGTTGCTAAGTGGCTGAATTTTGATCATGTGACCATGGGGATGCTTGTAGCCGGCCTTATGTGCGAAAGACGATCATAAATCGCCTTTTTCAGTGCTGTTGTAACTTTGAAAGGTCGCTAAATGAGCTGTTACAAGTCAAGGTCTACTTGTATTTCATTATAGAGATACAGTAATAGAATTTTGTAATTCCTAATGTGTCTCTCCCCCTAGAGAGGGTTTGAGATACTTTCTCAAATTCCATTCCTGCTCTGGACTCAGATTTCCCTTATCTGATTTTGCCTTGGCTGCAACTCTTCCTCCTCTTCCTCAGAACCCATCCCATAAGTTTAGACTGCCATCTTGTCTTTTTTTTTTGATCCTCCTCCTCCTCCTCCTCGCTGGACCGCCTGGATTGGAGACAGCACGTAATTCATCCCTTTCACGGTCCCCCCTTTCTCTTTCTCTCTCTCTCTCTCCCTCACCCCATCACCACTAATGACTCGGACAAGGCAACTTTATCTCTTTTTTTGTTTTCATTTGGGAAGAGAAAGCTAAGGTGCAAAATGGTTGCCTTAAGCCCCGTAGAAGCTTAAAATGTCTATTTCATGTCTTAAATACTCCACAAAACTGTGTCCTGGCCTGGTCATTTTTCGAGGGCGACCTCTGTCCAGTGGACATATTCATGGTGATGGAAGCTTTGCATTACTCTAGATACCATCTGCATGGCACAAGAGAGAGAACTGTTTTAGACCTAAAGAGTTCTCCTATTATTCTTCCGCAAGGCTAGAAGGTCTTCAATACCCTTTCATTTTGCCTTTAGTGAAATCCAAATAAATACTATGAATGTGATTTAGTATCATGTGGATTGTCTCAAAGCAAATCAATTGTAAACCATTTTCATTTTCAGTGATTTTTACTATTACATTTCTGCTGTGTAAAATGGAAAGTGTTACTGTGGGGGTAATGGTGGGCCTACATTTTTTTCCCTCACAAATCGTGATTTATCACAGCATATGAACTTTGCCACCACTTTAAGCAGAAATATTTTTAAAAGCTACTTTTTAATTCTCTAGGCAACCACATAATACACACTTAAATTACTAAACTGTATTTTTAATCCTGCAATTATGGCAAACGCTAACTTGGACTGGGCTTTCTGCTCCTTTTTAGAAAAAGCTCTTGTTAGTCAACCAAAGCTTTTAAAATTATTTTTACATGCCATGTCAGAAAGCAGTAAGAAAAAAAAACCTTAACTGCAAGGATTTTATTTATTGCAGTACATTGTTCTGTGTTCTTGACTTTTAGGATAGATAGACATTAAAAGAACAAAAGAGAGACAGACCTTGAATGCAAATTGATTTTCCCCACTCCCAAATTATAACTATTCACTTTTTCAAAAGAAAAAANCTTTATCCAGACGAAAAACATGGTAACAGCTGCAACATTATTGAACTGGGTTTGCCAGTATGCTAAAGGTTCAAAATTGGGGAAGCTATTTTGATCTTCCAGCAGTTTCTTCACTAGCTTATTCACAGTAGATATTTGATAGATATTCAATCCAATAGCTGCCAATGATAGCTGAGAATAGAAAAAAAAAGAAAAAAAAACATACACAAAGTTTGGTGGACTAACTTTATTGCTGCTGCATAATATTGTCATCCTGTCAATATAGACTTAACTGTTCTTTTAACTTCTAGTTTACACATGGTACCACCAAAAGAAAACATTCTGGGTATCTTTAGTATCATAAGTACATATTTGGAGTATTGAGGAAACAGTATTGAAAAGAGATTCAAAAAGATTGTCCAGATAGTTGGAAGACCACTCTGAAATTCATGGCCCATCCCTTTGGGCCCTTCATAATGTCTTGAAAACATGGCTTTATGCTCAAGCCTGGGGCCCATCTTAGAAAACCATCTCCTGGTTGTATGTATGATGGATTAAGATGATGCCCGGCTATTTATTTTTATTTTATGTGTCTTTATACGTTTATTGTAAGCCTCCTAGCATCGCATAAAAGTCAAATGGGCACCTACATAAATAAAGTAGATAATATAGTATAAAATGCTTTGTAGCATCTGGTTTCCTGTTCCATTGCTTTGGCTACTGATTCATCAAAGATGGGAAGGCTGCTGTTTATTTCAAATAATTTTTTTTTCTAGCAGCATCAGGAAGGAAGGCATCTCTAGCAGTTGTGGTATAGAAGGGACAAACAAACAAGGAGGCATCTATCTCTTTGTTCATCAGAAATTTGAGAGTTGACAACTCCCTACAAAGTTTCCAGAATATTTCAAATTAGCTCAGTATTTAAATGGGTTTACTTACCGTGATAATGAGAACATCGAGACAGTTCCAAAGACTCCTAAAATAGAACAACCTGTGAATGTGAATTTCCAGGATTTCTTCCACCACATAATAAATAATAAAGAGGCAAAAAACAAGTTCACAAGCAGCCAAGAAAAAGTCAAAAGTGGTAATGTAGTGGATTAACTTCACTGGCTGGAATTGCCAGGATGTCAGGAGGCCTCCGGTGGGTGGGAATTCCACCAATAACCTGCATTTAAAAATAAAAGTTATCTTGTCATAGATTATTCTTTCGTTGCTCAGCTGATATTAAATATCTTTTTTAAGCCAAGGGTGGACAATTAAGATGTTAAAGTGATAAGTAACAATACCTATGGAAATCCTATGCTTTAACTATTTTATTAAAATATGTTAATTAAAATTATTTTTAACTTTAACACAAAATATTCTTTTTTATAATTTGCAAGTATTGGATTATTTCACTTACGCTTACTAACCTATGTTTGAAATAAATATATAGGGTTTTTATTTATGACCCTCGGTTTGGTGTGGTGGTTAAGGCTCCAGACTAGAAACTGGGAGATGATGAGTTTTAAACCTGCCTTAAGCACAAAGCCAGCTGGGTAACTTTGGGCCAGTCACTTTGTCTCAGCCCTAGGAAGGAGGCAATGGCAAACTATTTCCATAACTGGTGCCAGAATGACTTGTTCATGTAGTTGCTAGGAGTCAAGTCTGACTTGAAAGGATTCCTCCACTCCCAAAAGAAAAAGAAACATTTGCAATATCATAATGAACAAAAACATCATATAATCAATATATAATTGAGGCTGGCAATAATACCATACATTCTCAGCACAAAATGGGCTCATCTCAGTCCAGCTCGGGGGGGGGGGACGACCAGATCTTTGTGGCTCTGCAAAAGGCCAATAGAGTTGAGGCCATTGGGGTGGGGGGAGTGGTCATAGCAACAAAGAACTTTGTACATTATTTTCTAGAGTATGCCTGCTACATTTTTCTCTAAATTATCATTCTTCTTTTTATTGGGGAACGGCCTAGAGTCGTTGAGGCCACTTGGAAGTTTATTTGTGTCCTCAGGGTCACCCATTTGCACTACTCAGGTGACCCTGAGGACACAGGTAAACCTCCAAATGGCCTCAACGACTCTCTAAAAGAAGGCAAATGACCATCTGTCTGCAAGGAGTATAAATCCTTCCATTCCCCACCATCCAGTCAGAGCTGAAGAAGCTCCTTGGATGAGAAGCGAAACAGTCTTAAAAGAAAAAAAGCACTTTTGGAACTTTTACCTACATGCTATTATTCTTATTAAAAATACCCCAAATCCACAACGTTAATTATAGCCTCGTGAGAGAAAAAAAAAAACACATTATGGGAAGCATGGCCTTCCTGTTGAGTACAATGGAGATGACACCCACATGCACCAGAAGGTGGCTTCACAAATCAAGAGTTAATGCTCAGTTAATAGTCAAACAGGCCATGCTCACCTGACAATGAAGAATAGATTGATATTTGCATTGTAGACGGAAAAGTCGATAAATACTGCCCTTGTGCCTCTGTCAAGCCACAAGTTGTTCTTAAGGACAGCAATCAAGGCAGAGGTGTCTTCTTTGCTTTTTGAGAGCTCCTGGTAATAACCAGCTCCACTGTATGTGGCGATCAACCCCCAGTGGCTGCTCCCATTCAAGACTTTTTCACTGCTGTACGTCCATCTACAACACAACATTAGAATCATGAGAATTACAAGAATCCTACCTCTGTTACTGCCATCTTGAACACTTATGAAATGAATTATCCCTAAGAATTTTTTCCCATCAGCAGTAAAACATGATGACAAAATATCTGAATATATGTTGAATCTGCAGTGTGCGCCATACAATGAATATTTTTCCTAGTAGGTGGGGTAGCAGCAACAGGATAGTAACTTGCAGGAGCCATCTCCAGGATAGTTTATCAGCTGTCTTAGGAGCATTGAAAAGCATGAGCATACTTGGTATAAAATTGGGTATGGGTTGCTCATGTAGCATGCCCTATTACTGTAGTCAAACGTCAAAAATGGAGTACTGTCCTATTGGGTATGGGTATGGGTAACTTAAGGGCTGATAATGTACTCTACACCTCCTCTGCCTTATTAAAATGCATTATTAAGTCTTGATCAATAAAAGTTTCATAGCTGGCACATCTGGTAAGCATATAGAGGTTTGGTCTCCAGAACATAAGAAGAATAAACTTTAAATAGAATGAATGAATGAGCTAACAAATAAATGAAGAAATGTAGTTGTTATCTGATGTTATGGACGTGGTTGTTTAAAGGCCTTAGAAGCTTTAAGTCCTAATAATAATAATAATGATAAAGTTGGAAGGGACCTTGGAGGTCATCTAGTCCAACCCCCTGCTCAGGCAGGAAACCCTATACCATTTCGGACAAATGGCTGTCCAGTTTCTTCTTTAAAACTTCCAGTGTTGGTGCATTCACCGCTTCTGGAGGCAGGTTGTTCCACTGGTTAATTGTTCTAACTGTCAGGAAGTTTCTCCTTAGTTCTAGGTTGCTTCTCTCTTTGGCTAGCTTCCACCCATTGCTCCTTGTCCTGCTTTCAGGCGCTTTGGAAAATAGCTTGACTCCCTCTTCTTTGTGGCAGCCCCTGAGATATTGGAACACTGCTATCATGTTCCCCCTCGTCCTTCTCTTTGTTAAACTAGACATACCTCGTACTCTTTCTAGAGTCTCAACATCTTTTTTACATTGTGGTGACCAAAACTGGATGCAGTATTCCAAGTGTGGCCTTACCAAGGCATTGTAAAGTGGTATTAATACTTCACATGATCTTGATTCTATCCCTCTCTTAATGTAGTCTAGCACTGTGTTGGCTTTTTTGGCAGTTGCAGCACACTGCTGGCTCATATTTAAATGATTGTCCACTAGGACTCCGAGATCCCTCTCACAGTTACTACTATTGAGCAAGGTACCCCCTATATCCTGTTAAATAGATATGAGATTATGACATCTATGTATATTGGGATGGGCAACTATGGCAACTTTAGGACCTGGGGACTGCAACTCCCAGAATTCCTGAGACAACATGGAGTTGAAGTCCACAGGTCATAAAGTTGCCACAGTTACCCATGCCTGGTCTATATGAATGTGAATAAATACATACGCTGTCCCATTCCGGAGCCCAAATGGAGCAGTGTCCTCATTAGCCACTGAGTAAACATCATAACAGTCTTTTATTTCATCTTTTAAATCTTCAGGTATCGAACATGAGGCATTCCTGACTTTCAGCTGCCGGATACGAGGCACTCCTAAAAGTAGATTCTCATGGTAGATGAAACTTCTGTTTTCTGCCACGGTTTTGTTATTGTACCACATCTCCCAGTACAGTCCATCCAACAACGGCCCCTCAGTGAACTGAAAGATTAAGCAAAATGTTTTAAATTGAGGATCAGCGATGCACTGTCTCTGGTGCTACTTGCTGGACTCTACTAAATTTCTGCCATTAAAAAAATATTTTAAAAAGGAATTATTTTTAATTCATATTAAAGTTAATAAGCTGCCTTGAGGATCACTATCTCCTCACATGAGATTTCTTGTCATTTGGTCATTTAATTTAATTTTTAAATATCACTTTTATCAGATAGATATAGATAGGTAGGTAGGTAGGTAGATAGATAGATGATAGCTAGCTAAGATGATAGATGATAAATAGATCATAGAAAGATAGATGATAGATGATAGCTAGCTAAGGATAGATAGATGATAAATAGATCAGAGAAAGATAGATGATAGATAGATGATAAATAGATGATAGATTGATAGATAGATAGAGATAGATGATAGCTAGCTAAGATGATAGATAGATGATAAATAAATCATAGAAAGATAGATGATAGATGATAGCTAGCTAGATGATAGATAGATGATAAATAGATCATAGAAAGATAGATGATAGATAGATAGCTAGACAGACAGACAGATAGATGATAGATATAGTAGACGACTAAATATACCTTGGCCAATGGATCTCAATGGAAGACGATACAATAAAGGAAATTGAACAGCATGTTAAATGTGGTTGAGAGGCATTCAACAAACTAATAATAATTTTCAAGAATTACCTCCCCCTATGGCTGAAGAGAAATGTTTTTGATCAGTCTGTGTTACCTGCTCTAACATAAGCCAGTGAAATATGGACAATAAGCTCACAATTGATAGAAAAGCAACAAATGTCATAAAGAGCCGTGGAAAGATACATGTTCGGCATTACAAGACAAGATAGAAAGACCTGCACATGGATTAGAGCAGAGTTCCCCAACCTTCCCGGCTTTGCAGAACAGCATGGGGGGGGGGGCAGGGGATGGTTCAGCATGAGCTGCAGGCAAGCGTGTGCATGTGTGCAGCTCCATTTGTTTGAGTGGCGGGCATGAGTGCCTGCCGCTGGTACAAATGGAGCACGTATGCACGGGTTTGCCTGCTGCTCATGCATGTGCGTGTGCCTGCTTGCTGCATTGGACACTCTGGTTTTGAACAGCTCATGGCCCGTTAGTGGGCCCTAGCCTGGGGGTTGGGGACCCCATGATTAGAGAACAATCAAAAGTATACAATATCATCAAGAGAGTAAAAGAACTGAAATGGAAATGAGCTGGTCACATAGCAAAAAGAACTGATGGCAGGTGGGCCAAGGCAGTCATAGAATGGATCCCACTTGATAAAAAGCGTCCATGAAAGAGACCTAAAACAAAGTGGATCGACAACATCAGCAAGTATTGTGGGCCCAGTTGGCAAAAGAAATCTCAGGACTGTATTGCGGAAGAGGCCTTCATCCTGCAGTGGATAGACAATGACTAGAATGAGTGTGTGTGTGTGTGTGTGTGTGTGTGTAAGGCTGAGTCAACCTTGAGCTGGTGAGAATCGAACTGCTAGAGTCAGCAGAATTAGCCTGCAATACTGCATTCTAACCACTGTGCCACCAGGGCTCTCATAATGTTAAATCTGAGTGATATGCATATAGCTCAGTGATGGCGAACCTTTTAGAGACCAAGTGCCCAAACTGCAACCTAAAACCCACTTATGTATTGTCGGGTGCCAGGTGGGCGTGGCCAATTGGGTGGGTGTGGCCATTGGGTGGGCATGGTCCATTGGGTGGACGTGGCTGCGGTGGTAACGGCAGACTGGGTGGGACTAAAAAGTTCAATCAATCAATTCCAACTTTNTTCTTTTTTTTTCTGCGAGAAGTTGAAATTGACTGATTGATTGAACTTTTTTTTTTTTGCACACGGCGGCGGAGGCCTAAAGCGAAAAGGTTTTATAAAACCCAGCTGAAGGCCTAGGACTGGGGCGACGGCGTGCGTGCCCACAGAGAGGGCTCTGAGTGCCGCCTCTGGCACCCGTGCCATAGGTTCGCCACCACTGATATAGCTTAAAGATATCAAGAATCACATTTCAATTAGTACCTTCCAGAAGTCTTCCATAGTAGACAAGGATCTGAAATTGGTTTTCTCCATCTTTGATACTGGTGTATCGAGAAAGAGCTGGGACATTACTCTTGTGTAGTAGTAAATGTTAGAATTCACCATTCCGTAAGATACTGTAAACATGAATTTGGAAATAATATGTATTTCAGATAGAAATTTATTAATCATCATCTTCAACTGTAACATGTAAGCAAGCATAAAGTAATATTTTCTTATCTGCTATATTATCAAGAATGATCTCACATGGGGCTCTTTAGCATGAACCTAGATGCCAGAGATTGTCTGTGTTTAATGCTAAATGCACAAGAAGTAAGTCTTCCTCCACATATTATGAATAAATTTTCCCAACATCAACCAAAAAGTAAATACAGCTCTTCTGTATTCTTTTCAACGGATCCTTCATACCTTTCCAGAAACTTTTGTGTTCAAAGAACCCAGGACAATGGGGAACCTGTAGCCATCTAAAATAATAAGACGGATTGAGGTATATGCGTATTTGCTGTTTATTTTCTTCTTTCTTTTACTTTGTTTTAGTTGCGGGCTAAATGCTGTAATAAAACTGAATTGAAACTGAAATTATCCAGATTCAGTTTCTGAAGAAAATGGACACTGAAGGCAGTCCTCTTATCCAATCATTAGGACATGGACTAGTTTCTAATACTAAACCTATTTGTTTATATTTAATATTTGAAAAAGCAAAAACATAAAAAAGGTACACGCATTTCTAATTTATTTGTTTTGGTGTCCAGAAAAGCATCTGCAGTGAAGTTGGTTTACTTAGTGAAGCATTAACTGTAGCAAAATTCAGTTAATCGCCTGCCCAATTATACTCTCTAGCAGAAATAAAACTCCGCAGGAGACTGCATTGCAGACAAAAGACAGAGCTCTTTCAATATTTTATGTATCCCTAAAATGTTCTAAGAAACAGTTTGGTGTGCTTGTTAAAAACACCAAGCTGGACATCAAAAGACTGTGAGTTCTAACCCTGCCTGAAGCGGGGCTATGAAGCTTGCCAGGGGATCTTGGATCAGTTATTCCCTCTCAGCCCTTGGAAGAACGAAATGGCAAATTATTTTACCAAGGCTTTGTGCAGGTACTGTAATTGCCAAGAGTCAAGATTGACTCAAAGGGACAATATATATATATATCCCATAATTGAAGAGAATAGCTCTTTTAATATCATCAATACATGCACCCATCATGATTCCGAATTGTGGTATTGGAGAAGACTCTTAAGCAGTGGTGGGATTCAGCCGGTTCGTACCACTTCGGCAGAACCGGTAGCTAATTTTTTGTTGCCCAGGCCCAGAATGGACTTCTAGAAGTGGCATTCACACAGAGAACCGGTTGTTCACATATTTGAATCACACCACTGCTCTTAAACGTCTTTGGACTGCAGGGAGATCAAATCAGTCAATCCTAAAGGAAATCAACCCTGTCTGTTCTTTGGAAGGAGAGATACTGAAGATGAAATACTTTGGCCACCAAATGAGAAGAGAGGAGTCACTGGAAAAGACCCTGATGTTGGGAAAGAAGGAAGGCAAAAGGAAAAGGACACACCAGAAGATAAGATGGTTAGACAGTGTCATCAATGCAGTGAACATGAATTTGGGCAAACTCCAGGAGACAGTACAGAACAGGGAAGCCTGGCATGCTATGGTCCATGGGGTCGCGAAAAGTCAGACTTAGCGACTGAACAACAATATCATGTTGGTTTTGTAATGGAAAGAACAAGGACACAATCTCCCTTTATTGTTAATAAAGGTTGTATTTGTAATATTGAATATTTTATATGTCTACATTTATTTATGAGATATTATTTTGCAAATTAATCATCACTTTTAAAAATAACAATAGAGTGGGAATACACACAACACACTTATTTATATCCCATATTTATTATTTTTATAAATAACTCAAGAGGGCAAGCATACAGCATCTAATATTCTGTCTGTTATTTTCCCCACAATACCAACCCGGTGTGATGGGTTCGGCTGAGAGGAAGTGGCTAGCCCACAACAGCTGGCTTTATAGGGGAAATATAACTTGAATACAGTATGTGCAGAGGACTATGGAAATAGCCTTGAAGAAAATATGCAGCAGCTGTTAGGAAACATGAACGTAACCCAGGAAAACATGAGCGTGTGAGAAGAAAACTCAAGGTAATGTCAATTTGAGACTCTTTGGTATAGACCAGGGGTCTTCAAACTTGGCCCTTTTATGACTTGTGGACTTCAACTCCCAGAATTCCTCAGCCAGCGTGCCTGGCTGAGGAATTCTGAGAGTTGAAGCCCACAAGTCATAAAAGGGCCAAGTTTGAAGACCCCTGGTATAGACAGACAGAGGGAAGGAGAAAGGCTACAGGTTCTGATATTATAGCTTACAATAAGTAATATGCTTTTTGGGGGTGTGTGTGACTTGTTTCCTGATCTGCTCTACCTTGTAAAACTAATAGTATTGTATTTATTATTTTATGGCAGTAGAAGTCTATATAACTGATATATCCACTAAAGCTGATTTTGTAAAATCTCAGACTATACATTTTTTCTTATTGTTTTTAAATTATAGACTGAAATTGTAATATACTTTTAGAATTATCTTCTTCAAATTATTTTCCCTAGATCTTGATTCAATTTATAGCCATATGAATTAAAGAACAGGTTTTGGAAGTTATTATAGCATATATGGATTAGCAATTTTCTGAACATCAAATTTGACAGGATAAGCAATAATCATGGCCTCAAATGAAGAAATCTTTCAGAACTCTATTCCATTCTATATTAAATATCAGTTTGCCATCACATTAAAATATCAGCAAAGACTACTTACGGATTGATAGGACGACAAGAAAAATCAAATACGTTATTAGCTCACGCAAAACACTTTTCAAGTATTTCTCTCGAGTTGTAGTTTCTTCCATGAGCCGAGTACCCCACAGACCTTAAAAAGAATAACCAGGAATCCATAAGAAATAGGATGTATTGGTATATGAAAGGGATCAGTATAAACTAGCAATCGTTTGCCATTGTTTAGTCTGATGTATACGTTTGGGCATTTATTTCCACCTTACAAGATTAATATAAGACTTACTTTATGTTATTCCAATAAGTTATACCTATTAACCAAAAGAACTAGAAAGGGATGAAAGATTGCTACCTACCATGTAATAACTGAATGCAGGTAGTCCTTGACTTACAACCATTCATTTAGTGACTGAAGTTACAACAGCACTGAAAGTGACCACTTTTCATATTTACAACTTGTGGGAAGTCAGCCCCCCAGAGAAAGAAATATTAAAAGGGCAGAAAAATATATTTCCTCAAAGGATCTTAAAGAGGCAGAAAAGCATGCCCAGTTTTCGTAATAGCCCCAAGTCTCCCTCCCCCAAGCAGAAACCAGCTCTGTAGAAATGCAGATGTAAACCATCCAGGAAGGTTGGAGGCCCCCAGCTAAAAGTTTGGAAGACAAAGACACCTAAAATCGACATACCCCACCCAAACTCTAAGACAGGACATAATAGGATTAACCCACAGATGCCAAAGGGCACACCTAGACTCAGGTCAGAATACATGACACAGGAAACACAAAGCCTCAAACCGGAACAGGAAACAACTCCAAACAAAAGCTCCAGAGGGTATAAAAACCCACTCCCTACATGTGCTCACTCTTTTCTCTTCCAGAGCCATCTTTCTGTCTGGCTCTCCTCTTCAATAAACTGCAACCTTCTTTCTAAAGCAGTCGCCATGTTGTTTATTCCCGGCTTGGACTGAACCATGATGAAGACTTTTCCTTCAGCAAACTATTGCAGCATCCTTCGGGCCACATGATCAAAATTCGGATGCTTGGCAACTGGTTCATATTTATGACGGTTGAAGTATCCCAGGGTCATAGGATCCCCTTTTGCGACCTTCTGACCAGCAAAGTCAGTGAGGAAGTCGGATTCATTTAACAACCATGTTATTAACAACTGCAGGATTCACTTAACAACTGTGGCAAGAAAGGTCGTAAGATGGGGCAAAATTCACTTAACAATTGTCTTGCTTAGCAATGGACTTTGGGGCTCAAATGTGGTTATAAATTGAGGACTACCTGTATATCATTTGCATCAATATTACGTCACTGCAGTTCTAAGTACTACCAAGATAGCTCAAGTAGAAGAACAGTGACCACTGATAAGACTGACCAAGTTAGAATGGCAAACCTTGGCCAGCAAAAAGCACCTTGTGCAATTTTTACTGGAAGATATGGAAATAGGTTTTGCAGGCAAAAAAATAAGTAAATCTGAAAAACACATATACAAATTTAGTGGAACAGCACTTGGCTCTAGGTAAGGAAATAAGTTTATCTTTGTCTTATTGGCAGTTAACAACTTTTCTCTCAAGACCAACACAGTAACAATGAAACCAATGGCAACAGCATATAAATACATTGCAATGCTAGTGCACTATTTACAAACACTGCTAAATTGATTTTTTGAAAAGCAATACTCCACTAATGCAGTTTATTGCAAAGGTTCTTCTACAATGTGCTCTGTAAGAAATCATCAAAAAGGATTTAAAGATTTTAAACATCCCAAATAGGCCGAAACAGTTATTCAGCCTCTTCTGGAAGCCAGCCACACCAGAAAGCTCACACTGTGTGTTAACAGCCAGCAAAGTAACAAAAAGAACTATAAAGTTTTACATTATTGAAAGTCCACTGGCTCTTCTGTATCCGTTTATCAAACTTGTATGTATATGTACAAATTTGTAATTTGTACAAAATTTGTAACATGTATTTGCATGCTGTTGCATATCCCACTTGCCTGAGAAACAGGGACCCTTGCGAAAGATAAATTGACAAGAGTTTTGTAGAAGTTTGCACATTACCTAGTACCAATTACCACCCATTTGAACAACAGGAGAAAAAATTAGGACAGTGAAGATATTTTTGGTCTCAACTTTCACCAGTTCTGGCTAATGGCAAAGAATTTCAATCCAAAATTTCTGAAGGGTATCAGATTGCCAACCTTTACTCTGGAAGGATCAGGGATTTGTCTTAGTATCTGAACAGATGTGTCAAGTTGTAGTGCAAAGGAAAGGACTCTAAACATTTCCCACTTTTTTTTAAAAAAAACAACAAGCTATGTTAAACCATATCAGTTTTGTATTAGACCAACGATGAAGATCAATCTCTGTCCTGTAACAGTGGATCCTGACATAAAAACTGAAAGATATATGTTGCCAAAAAAGTGCATCAAATCAGTATATAGATCCAAACAGTAGTTGTACAAAATGTGCTCATTTCATCATACCAAAGGCATGTTACTAAAAATAACAGCATGAGCTATCCACAGAAGGAATTGCAATGCAAGAAAAAGGGTATAACTTAAGATATATTACGCCCAATAAGTAAGCTTGCAAATATAGCTTAACAGCTAAAAAGAGCTACCTAGTCTTTTTAGCTGTTAACATCTGTCTCAAGTAATTATCACCTGTGGGTTTTTTTTTTAAATTAATTTTTAAGATATATGCTACTTTGTAGCAGGATTTTCTCTCTTCTATTCTGTGAACCACCCTGCATATAAATAAATTACAAGCAAACAATATTATATAAAAAGAAGCGAGTGAGATACAAATAAACGGCTTACAGTACAAAGCTGAAAGTAGCTGCAGTTATGTTTGTTTTTTTCTTCTTCTAAGGATTAATATGGCTACTCTTCTGGAATTTGTAGCTAACTAGATGGTTATCCTGAACTGGAACAAATGAGCAAAGGCTGGTTGGCCAGGCAACAGAAAGTTTGAAATGCACTCTGAATGGATTGCAGTTTGTAACACTTGGCAAAGAAATATTTTATTTTTGGGAAAAAAGAAGCATAGCTTAAAAAATAGACAGTCTATGAATTCTGTCTGGTGCCCAGTGTAAAAGTTTCATATTTTTTCAGGAAAGGAAAAGGCTTAAAGCTTTTCCTTAAGACCTTTCATTTTGTAAATGTTTTTGCTCATACGGGCGAAGACTACCTCAGCTTGCCTTACACAGGGCCTTCAGAGACAAGATGAAAGCGATGTCAATGAGATAAGCAGAAAGATGTTGTCAAGATACGTTTGTACTTTGCTTAGGAGCAAAAGGGGACAGGCCTCAAAGCATGCGAATAAATTGCAGTGAAGTTGGCAAATTATGTAATATTGTCTGAATACCCACATCTGCAGCATGGTAACAACAAGTCTGAATTCAGAAGAAAAATCATGTGATTTCAGGAAAAAAATATATCAAGATTTCAAACACACACACACATGCACACAGAGACTTTTAAATACTGACAGTGGATTGCCCTTCAAATACATATGACCAGTTCCACTTTATAGCTGAATAGATTTGCATTACCTACTTTATTTTTTATAAAAACTGCTAGGTTCCACCAATGTGTTTTAAATTTAGATAGCAAGGGTTAGTATTCAGGAATATTTTAACTGTTATAGTAGAACTAGACAACCACAAACTCCTTGGGTTATTGTTTCGAAGATATCTCCTTACCAGATTTCTCAATGCTTTCAACAGTGGCAGAGCTTCTAAGGTACAGGTGGTCCTCAACCTATGACCACAACTGAGCCCAAAATTTCTGTTGCTAAGTGAGACATTTGTTAAGTGAGTTTTGTCCCATTTTACCTTTCTTGCCACAGTCGTTAAATGAATCACTACAGTTGTTAAGTTAGTAATATGGTTGTTAAGTGAATCTGGTTTCCCCATTGACTTTGCTTGTCAGGTCACAAAACGTGATCACATGACCCCAGGATATTGCAAATACGAGTCAGTTATCAAGCGTCTGGATTTTGATCATGTGATCATCGGGATGTTGCAGTAGTCATAAGCCACTTTTTTCAGTGCTGTTGTAACTTCGAACAGTCTCTATATGAACTGTTGTAAATTGAGGATTACCTGTACTTGAAAAGTTCTTAAAAATTCAAATAGATATTCAGAGATGTATCTGCCTTGAAAGTAGCTCACAGTTAGACATCAGAGTTGGAAGGGACTTTGGAGGTCTTCTAGTCCAACCCCTAGCTCTGTAACATTTTTTATGTCATAAAGTGCTTTATAGAATTCGCCAAATTTCAATTCCACAGGATTCCAGATTTTGGATACATTCTGTACAGTAGCCCATTAAAGGTATTTTGGTGGAAAACGTTTTGTCTTATGATACACTATTTCACCCAGTTAAAAGCTATAGACACCATGTAATTTTTGTTGTGAGATCATCCGGATATTCTTAAGGCCAAAATGAGAACATGGAGACACATTATGTTTGGAGCTATAAAGAAAGCCCTAAACTTTTTATTCACAACCATTCTTTCTCCAGTTAGAAAACCACAGACTGCAATTTAAAGTCAAAATCAAACCCATCTGGAGGATATCAATTTGGAAAAAATTGAGCCACCCATCAAAGGAATAAAATTCAGATAACAATTATTGGAAAAATGGAAAAAGTTCAGAGAAGAGCAACTAAGATGACCCAACGCCTGGAGACTAAAACATATGAAGAACAGCTGCAGGACTTGGATTTGGCTAGTCTAAAGAAAAGAAGAAATAGGGACGACATGATAGCAGTATTCTAGTATTTGAGGGGCTGCCACAAAGAAGAGGGGGTCAGGTTGTTCACCAGAGGGAAGGATGAGAAACCATGGTTGGAAACTGATCAAAGAGAGAAGCAACCTGGAATTAAGGAGAAAGTTCCTAACAGTGAGGACAATTAACCAGCGGAACAGCTTGCCTCCAGAAATCACTGGTGCTCCATCACTGGAAGTTTTTAAGAAGAGATTGGACAGTCACTTGTCTGAGATGGTATAGGTCAGTGATGGCGAACCTTTTAGAGACCGAGTGCCCAAACTGCAACCCAAAACCCACTTATTTATCACAAAGTGCCAGGGACACATCAGCATTGTGGTGCCCTGGGGGGGGCGGGCAGGGAGGCGCCTCTGAGTGCCGCCTCTGGCATGCAAAACCCGGGGGGGGCCCCCGCAAAAACGGGCCACTGTGCTGCAAGGTGCAAAAATGGCTGCCGCTGCACCGCAGGGTGCAGATACAAGGCGCTGCACTATGCAAGAATGGGGAAGGGCTAGTGAGTATCACACAGGCACTAGCCCCGCCCCATTTGTAGCGCATGCGTGCTTGCGGCCGTGTGCGCATGCGCGCATGTGAAATGCTTCCCGCTCCCTTTTCTTCCAGTCCACCAATCGACAATGGTTGGTGACCTCTGCTTTGCCACCTCTACTCGAGCTTGCTAGTTGGCCGCTTCACCTTTGTGCTGGGCAGGGCTCCTGCTCCGGGTGGCAGTGGTGGCCTGATGGACCTGCTGCTGGTGGCGGTGGTGTGTGTGCCAACAGAGAGGGCTCTGAGTGCCGCCTCTGGCACCCGTGCCATAGGTTCGCCACCACTGGTATAGGTTCTCCTGCTTGAGTGGGGGGCTGGACTAGAAGACCTCCAAGGTTCTGTTCTATTCTATTCTATATTCTATTCTATTCTATTCTTCTATTCTATTCTATTCTATAAAAAAAACTTGAAGTTAACCGAAGTATCAAAATACTCAGTAACCCCTCCCTCTTTATAATTAAAATTCAGTGCCTTTTGAGCTAGGGCAGCTGTTTTGGTAAACATTATGGAAGTTATTGGCGATTCCCTTTTGGATTTTTTTTTTTTGAGTTTTCAGGCTAACTAATCGATAATCTTCAGGCTCTCCTGGTGGTCTCCCATCCTGCTTTACGGTTTTGGGGTGGGGTTTTTTTAGTTGAACTCTGCCCCCTTCAGGTCCCAGTCCTCCTGGCAGCCACAGGTGGACGCATTAGCCAAGGGCTGCCCTTCCTTCCAGGAGCAGAAAAGCCGCGTCCGAGAGCAGATGGGCGAGGGCGGGGAGGCGAGGCTGACCCGGGCGGGCGGGCGCTCACTCACTCACCTCGCAATCGGCTCGCCAGCCCTTTGGCCCAGGCGATCCGGTGCGGCGGGGGCTCCGCGGCCTCGCCGTTGCCCTCTTCGGGAGCGAAGCGCGCGGGCAGGGCGTCTCCCGCTCCTGCGCCCGCGGGGAAGGGATGGCCCCGCTCCCCTCCGTCCTCCTCCTCCTCTTCCTCGCCCCGCCGCCTGCGCCGCCGCTGCCTCCCCTGCGCGGCGTCTCCGCTTCGAGCGCTGGGCCCGCCGGAGGTCGGCGAGGCCGCGTCGCCCCGGCCCCACTCCACGTCCATCCTCAGCACCGGCCCCGCCACCGCCGTCGCCACCCTGGCCGGGTCTTCCTCCTCGGGCTCGAAGACCGGGTTGTCCCGGCTCCAGGCCTGCCTCGAGCAAGAGGAGAGCGGCGGCGAGGGCGAGCCAGCAGGCTGTCCGAGCTGCCCCAGCTCCAGCTGCTCAAGACCGCCCGGGGGGCAAAGTCCAGCGCGGCCGCCGCCGCCCCCCGCGCCCGCCATTGTCCCTTTGCAAGCCCCGCCGCCTCAGGAGCTTCCCCGCAGCCCCGCCGAGTAACGGGGCGGGAAATGAGCGCCCTCGCCCCCTTTTCTCCCCATCCCCGCCCACAGCGCCTCGGCGGCCAGGCCGGCGGAGCCAACGGGCTGAAAAGGGAAGAGCTCGGCGGGCTTCTTTGCGGTGGAAAGTGGCGCTGCTGGGGATCTCTGAGCCGATTTTCCCAGGAGTAAAAAATCTCCCGAGTTTCCTCGGCTATTACCCCCAAACTGCATCCGAAGGATGAGGAAAGGAAGGAGGTGGGATGTGTGGGGTGGTTGAAAGAGAGGAGAGAGGTGTAGGTAGGAGGATAGGAGGGGAGGAGGGAAGTAGGTAGGAAGGGTGAAAGAGAGGGTGGATGCAGGGGGGGGGGTGGCTGCCGAGCTGCTCTGAAATTTTTATGTCTGTATTTAATATGATTTTTTTTATTAATGTATACCATTGTGGGAAGTTAACCCAGAGAAGGAAATATTAAAAAGGCAGGGGAAAAATATTGTTCACCAAAAGGATTTTTTAAAAGCATTTTTTGAAAAGCAGAAACCAAACCTGGCCTCATCTCTGCCCAGGGCAGTAGCTAGTCTTATACAAATGCAGATGTGGAACCATCAGAAAGTTGAAGCCAGAGCCATCAAGAAGACANAAACTATCCCAAGCAGGGCTGGGAGGGGGGTATAAAAAGACCTCTGCCCATGTGCTCACTCTTTTTCCTCTCCTCTGCTGCTTCTTGCAAGACCATCTGTCTTCTGCAATAAACTGTAACCTTCTTCCCAAAGCAGTTGCCATGTTTGCTTATTTATTCCCGGCTTGGATGAACCAGGATGAAGACTTACTTCTAACACCATATTTGTATTAAGATTTTTTTGGGGGGGTTAGTTGAAAAATTAATAAAAAGTTTTCATTGAAAAAAAAATCTCCCGAGTTTCTTTGGAGTCATTTCCAAGGATGGGGGCAGAGGCGGGCGCAGGTCGTGGAAGGATTCAGCGCTAAAGGCAGCCGGAGGTTGGATCTGAGGGGGCTGAGCCCTCCATCGGGGTGTGGATGTGGAAAGACTGAAAGATCTAGTCGATCATCGGGCAGGGTCCCTTGCAGCAGCAGCAGCAGCAGCATCCTGTTGTTTGTGAAAACACAGTTGGAGCAGCTCACTAGACCCGGATACAAACAGAGGTGCTTACATTATTAAATATGACCTAAAAAACACATGACTGTATAGTAAGTCCTGGGCTTACCACCACAGTTGAGCCCAAATTTCTGTTGCTAAGTGAAACAGTTGTTCAAGTGAGTTTCGCCCAATTTTACAACCTTTTTTTGCCACAATTGTTAAGTGAATCACTGCAGTGATCAAGTTAGTAACACAACTGTTAAGTCAGTGGTTCTCAACCTTTTTAATGCCGCGACCCCCAACCGGTCGTAAGTCAAGGACTAAACCGGTCGTAAGTCGAGGACTACCCAACCGGTCGTAAGTCGAGGACTTTCCCTACCCGGGAGCGCCGCGCATGCATGGTTTCACCCCCTGCGCCGGCCGAGGCGTAGCTGGCAAGCGGCAGAGACGGAGCAGGCCGACCACCAGCTGGCCCAGCTCAAGGGAGGTAAGGCACTCGCCGGAAAAGGGGAAAAAAAATGGCGGGCAGTCTTGCTTGGCGACCCCCGTGAAATGGTCGATCGACCCCAAATGGGGTTGCGATCCATAGGTTGAGAACCGCTGTGTTAAGTGAATCTGGGTTCACCATTGACTTTGCTTCTCAGAAGGATGCAAAAGGTGATCACATGACCCCGGGTCGCAGCAAGCGTCATAAATATGAGTCATTGCCAAGTGTCTGAATTTTGATCACATGACCATGGGGATGCTGTAATGGTTATAAGTGTGAAAAATGATCATGCCCCTTTTTCCAGTGCAATTTTAACTTCAAACAGTCATTAAACAAAAGGTTGTAAATTGAAGACTGTACTCTTTTCTGTTACAAAGCATTTACCTGATCTTGGCTGTGCTCCAAATGCTAAGCTGGGTTGCCCTGATTAGGACTTGGGGAGAAAAAAAAACCTGACTGGCTGAATACCAATCTACTCAGAGGGATGTTTTTATTAACCTAAAGTCTGCTGGAATGTGTATATTTTGTGAGTAACACATAACAGGGCCTTGCTAACTGACATCTTTAGTCTTTGTATTAAAATGATTGAACTATGTTATTTAAAATAGTGCTCAGAGATCAATCAATCTTTTTTCCTCTTCTCAATCTGCTAACTTTGACTTTATGATCTGAAATCGGAGTCATTACTCCAATTTGTTGAAAATAAATACTGGTGTAACTCGGAATAATGACACAGTTGATTTATGCTCCAGTTTAAATTTTATTAGGAAGTTTGGAGTCATTCTGACAACCACTGAAGGAACACATATGTACAAGTTCCCTATTCTTTCTGTAGTTCACTTTCTTGAGGTGTATCATTATACATAGCCTCTAAAACTTCCTCTGAAAACATCATTGGCTCAGGGTCCTGCAAAAAAAAAAAAAAAAGGCATTGTCAATAGGCTTTGTAGGCCCACTATAAATTCATCTTTAAACAAAACAAATTGAGGGTTTGTTTTAATAATAATTTGTTTTAAATTCTATTTCTCATTTGTATCGTGAAAATGAAATTATAGCTATTTTGATTATGAAAATTCTTGGAACCAGTTCCAAAATGATACAAGATGGTATTCAAAATGAAGTTAAGTTTCTGAAATTCACTATTCTTAATACTTTGTCATTTCTTCCCATTCCTTCCAGTTGACATAATTTATTATAAAAAAAGGAGGCAGGTGAAAATTAAAAAATGTAACCTAGAATATTATGCTTAGAAGTAGTACAGTTTTGCATCTTTGGCATTAAACCCTTATTTCAACTATATTTTATTATTTCTTAGTTGTTATTTATCTGGCAGGATTGGGATGGGGAAGATGTATCATATCTCTGAACCACCATGATCTGGACATTCCTATATTTTCCTATTTGATGTGCCTCAGAAGCATTACACAAAATGGCCGTCCATTTTGCCAGAAGCAGAATCAATCTTTTTCTTGCTGTTTCTCTTACATCAGCACCACTTTTGCTGCTTTTAAGTGTCTGGTCTATATAAATCTCCCACCACGCTGTCACTTAATAGAAGTATCTTGACAGAAATGTATCTTTTGGGGAAAGTATCCATTTTTTAATTGAATAATTTAATTGTTCAGTGAAATTCAGAATGTACAAGGTTCATTTTATATAGCGCTATGCAAAGCAAGTTTACAATAACTTGATTTCTGCTG